AAGTATATATAATATTGATAAGATAGATGAATAGATAATAGATATATATACATTACATATATGTATATAGATAGGATAGATAGATAGACAGAACAGATAATAGATAGACAGATTATAGATATATATACATACAACCAACACACACCTACACACACATATCACACACCAACACACACACACACACCACACACACACACACACACACACACACACACACACACAGCACATATATATATAGATATATATATATATATATATATATATATATAATATATATATACAATATATATATATATATTATATAATATATATATATATTATATTATATAATATATCTGTGTGTGTATGTTGTTATACATATGTATGGTATATATACATATATAATATAATTATAATATAATATATATATATATATATATATATAATACATATGCATATATATATATAAATATATAAATATATATATACATATATATATAAATATATATATATATATATATATATTATATATATAAGTTCCTTTATTCACTGTTACAGATGCCATGCATATTAGTGTAGAAGCACGAGGAGATTGTTCCTTACATGGGTAGATAGCAGCTTAGGATTCATGTCTGATAACCAAGATGACTTGAAGAACCATGATGGAGAAAGGTTGCTCCCAGTAGCCAGGTGCTGCTCCTTGGCCCCCCGGATACATATGTCTGTGTATGTGTGTGTGAATATATATTTGACAATATGCAAGATTATGTAAGGTATGTAGAATAAAGACAATAGATACATTGAATAACCTTAGCACACATTTTTCAGTAATGTGATTAGGTAAAGTATGTATGTATATATATATATATATATATATATATATATATATATATATATATATATATATATATATATATATTTTTTTTTTTTTTTTTTTTTTTTTTTTTTATACATGTGCATGTGTGTGTTTATACATATACACACATACATACATTTATATAAATGGAAAAAAACACCGTGTTCATACTATAGTAAATAAATCTATGAAATATGTGACGACAGTTTCGGAATCCTCCTCGACTCTATCTTCGGGTCTCACTTATTTCAGTGAATGTAGTTTGTGCATTGTGGGTTTTTCTACCATGTATATATATATATACATATATATATATATATATATATTATATATATATATATAATATATATTATATATATATATATATATATATATATTCATATATATAATATACATATATTAATATATAATATATTTATACACACACACACACACACACACACACACACACACACACACACACACACACACACACACACACACACACACACACACACACACACACACACACACACATACATACGCATACGTATTACCAAAAGAGCGCGTTCGCATTAAGCATTCTTACCAAAGAAAACCGAGTTTATAGGAGTAACCCTAATAGATAGATCAGCAACGTAAACCATTAAACACAACTTTCTGTTGCTCTCGTTATCCATCTTCCGAGTTTATAATTTGTTCCAAATTCTCTTAAAAATATCATGTTCGAAAATCCTAAAATTCTCTAATAGTATCCTCGTCTCACAATCCTTTTAAAGACGGAAAAAAGTGATTCATCCCCGAATCTTCTCAAGCGATCCTTGTCTCCACTTCAAGAACCCTTGTCATGACACTGAAGCTTTGATATAATCTTATCATCTCCCTCCCCATGTCATGAACGAAGGAATTAGATATCAAACTAAATATTTTAAAAAAACATGATAATTTCAAAAGGAAAGTTGGGCTTGAAAGATGGTGTTTGAAGTGCTCCTGAATGAGATGAGTGTTTAAACTCAGTTC